CAACAACAACAGCAGCAAATGTGTAGCAATCTAAGGCAGGCAACTCAATAATGTAGAAACGTCGCATACTTAGAATAATAATTTGCCTATAGTTTATTAAAAATAATAATAATAATGCCGTTAAAGTATGCATGTGTGTGTGTGAAGGAGTGTGCGATTGGCGCGTGTCTGACCAAAAGAAAAATACATTTAAAAATAATAAAATAGATAAACAGTAACAAATAACAATATTGCCCCACACGCAGCAGCTATAATAAAACAAAATAGATTACAATTAAAAAACAAAAAAATCAAGCAGACACAAATGAAGAAAATGGCCCATAATTGTCCCATTTTTGGCAGCGGCTCAATTCAATTGTCACAAGCACACACAAACACACACACACACGCATACACAGTCTCATGCACACCCACACTCACAGAGACACTCGACTGTTTGCTTTTGCAATACAAATTCCCTGTTTACCCCATTGTGCGGTTCGCTGTATAATTAGCCAGCCGCCAACTGCAATGTGATCTACGCGTGCGCCCCAAGCCAAGCGACTCGAAAATAAAAGAAACGAAACGAAACGAAACGAAACGAAACGAAAAAGAAAAAAAAAAACCCAAAGGCCGGCAACCGCAAAAGCCGCAATTAAATACCAGAAATTACAATATCAATCGCACAGCATTCATGCACAGTAGAGTACAAAGTGTGCCTAGCCCAACACGTGCGCTGCGACCGCACATGCCCCGAGCCGGGAGTGTGACAGGTTGATACCCTGTAGACCGTTCAAATCACTTGCACTGCCTGCCAGCTACATAAATACATACATATGTATGTAGGTGCGCATATTTACGCTGTATAGGTAAAGGCTGGCACATAGAGTTCATCATAGTAATTCATATGGATCTTTAGTCCCCCTCTCTTTATTGTTTTTTGATCTTTAAAGTTCTCTAATGTATAAACAAACTTATATCGGGTATCGATACTGTTCCTACTTTCTCTTCTTAAATTCCTTTAATCTCCTTGATTCTGTCATATTAATATACCCAAATATGACATACATACATACATACATATGTATATAAATTACTGGATATGTTCTTCCTATCTTTTTCTTTCGTTCTCTCAGTTTCTCTTTCACTTTTTCCATTTCCAATTTTTTGTAATCACTCTATGCTGCTGGCTCTCTTTATCAGACTGACGCCTTCTCTCTTTCTCTCTCTCTCATTCTGTGATAATCTCTGTTGGAATGTATTCTCCCTTCCTTCCTTCTTCTCGCCTTCTCTCATACTGACGCCTTCTCTCTATCTCACCCTCTCTCTCTCTCTTTCTTTCTCTCTCTCTCTCTCTCTCTCTCTCTCTCTCTCTCTCTCTCTCTCTCTCTCTCTCT